ACTCATGTTGTTTAATAATTGGCCTTTCTAGTCCTTTGAACAGAACAGTTTCCCTATAGTTAATGAATTTGGCCTTACGTTACCAAAATTGAGTCATTGAAACAGTAAAGATACGGTATTAAGTGGTTTCTTTTTAGTAAAATCGAAACAGCCTTAAATACAGGTTGTCCAAGAGTTCATGTCCCGGAACTGTGTTGACTCAAGCAGTTCACTTCAATCGGGAGTGAAGGAAACCTGGATTTTCCTGTTTCGTGGTTTTTGATCTCATTTATGAGACCAATTACTAACAAACGAAAATGGCCAATGCTTGCTGGAGTTTTTCTGTTATTATGGTCGTTGTGTCAGCAACATGTTCTTTAATAAGAAGGTTCAACACAGAGTTTCCTGGAGACATCCAAGATTGAAGAACTGGCATCAGCTCGATTTGATCTTCACTAGATGCTCTAGCCTTCCTAGTATTACGATCACACAAGGGTTATCAGGGTGCTGATTGCGATACTGATCACTCCCTGGTGTGTAGTAGAGTAAAACTGCGAACAAGGAGATTGCATCACATGAAGAATGAAGGAAGACCATGTATTGAAATCAGCAAGACTCGCAATTAGAGAAGAGTGGAGGAATTTGCCCAAGTGATTGAAGAAATCCTTCCAGGCCTGATTGAGGCAAATGCACCTGAATGATGGGAACATTTCAAGAATGCTGTTTATAACACCATCTCTATGAAAAAAATGAAAGTTGTTCATGACTTTGTGTACCTTGGCTCAATGATCTCTGACACTCCCTAGATTTCAAGCTGGATAAATGCATTGACAAAGCAGCTACCATGTTCTCTAGACTCACAAAGAGAGTATGGCTTAACCAAAAGCTGACGGCATATACCAAGATCCAGGTCCATAGAACTTTTGTCCTGAGTACACTCATGTACTGCAGTGAGTCCTGGACCCTTTGTGCATGGCAGGACAGGAAGCTGAACACATTCCATATGCGTTGTCTCCAATGCATTTTTTGGTATCACCTGGCAAGACAAAGTTTCAAACAGAGTAGCCCTAGAACAAGCTGGAATTTTTAGCATGTATACATTACTGAAACAGTGATGTCTAAGTTGGCTCAGGTATGTCGTGACAATGGCTGACGGTCAGATTCCAAAAGGTCTCCTGTATGGGGAATTAGTGCAGGGAAATCGCCTCAGAGGGAGACCACAGCTGCGGTACAAGGACATCTGCAAGTGGGATCTGAAGGCCTTAGGAATGGACCTCAACAGATGGGAAACCCCGACATCTGAGTGTTCATCCTGGAGGCAGGCGTTGCATCACGGCCTCTCCCTTTTTGAAGAGACCCTTGTCCAGCAGGCTGAGGCAAAGAGGAAGTCGTGAAACCAGCAAAATCAGGGAGCTGGACAGGGGACAGATTGTATTTGTCTTCGGTGTGGAAGGGATTGTCACTCTCGAATTGCCCTTCTCAGCCACGCTAGATGCTGTTCCAAGACCTCTATTCAGAGCACATTACTATAGCCTCTCAAGACTGAGGGATGTCTACTAATCTATCAATGCTGTGATAAGGTGATGAAGTACTAAATTTGGCAGTTTTTTTAAATTAAAAAAAAATACTAGGGAGGAAGATAATGAAGGTGTTTCTGCCATCCCAAAACATCATGTCCCAGTTTAATATGTCACCATAATGCCACCTAGATTCACATCTCATTTCCTTTCTTAGGCTGAAACAAGTAATCACATAAGGAAAACGCTGTTTGAATCATTCGGCTTTTAAAAAGTAGAAGCCCCCAGTGGCATGGGATCAAACTTGGAATCCAAAGCAAAATGGGTGGGTTGATTCACACTGGCATTTGCATAATGTGACCATAGAAAAAAGCTTTGAACTCACCTATGATAACTGCAGAGCAAATCCTGAAGTATTTGTCTATGTAGTTTATTTCCTTATTCCCTTATCTATTCCCTTATCTGGGAATAGAAGTCACTGAATTTAATAGTTTCAAGATACAGTGGTGCCTTGCTTAACGACGTTAATTCGTTCCAATGAAATCGATGTAGAGCGAAAACGTCGTAAAGCGAAAATAAAAAACCCATTGAAACACATTAAAACCCGGTTAATGTGTTCCAATGGGCCAAAAACTCACCATCCAGTGAAGATCCTCCATACGTCGGCCATTTCCAGTGCCTGTATAGTGAGGAATCCGTCCCTAAGCACAGTGGGGAGCCATTTTGAGCACCCGGCAGCCATTTTGAAAACCTGACAATCAGCTGTTTTGATCGTCGTAATGCGAAGAATCGGTTCCCGAAGCAGGGAACCAATCTTCGCAAAGCGAAAAAAAACATTTAAAACATTTTGCGATCACAATTGCTATCGCAAAAAGATTGTCGTAAAGCGGATTCATCGTAATGCAGGGAAATCGTTAAGCAGGGCACGACTGTACAGTCATAACTAGCCAAGATGGCTGAGGGCTGGCTGAACTAATCAGCAGGTCCACTGAGGCTGTTCCAAATTCAGACCCATCCCAGGCACAGGATGTTGGAAATTACTTAGGAGCACCTTGACCTTGGCCTAATTTTGTGCTGCCATAATGATCAGGAGTCTAGATAGAGCATGTGACAATATGGGAAAAAATGCAGATGGGTATGCTGTGATTCCCACCTGTGGAAATCAAGTTTCCCCAGTTGAAATCACTATAGCTATCCAAATTTGCAAGAGTTTACAGGGACAGAAGTAAATTCATATGTGAAGTACATAATTTCTTCTCCCCAAGGTTGCAAGCAGTTGCTCCAGTCTGAGTCCCCTTCCTGAAAATTTCTCCATCCCACAAACTGTGCTGCTTTGGGCTGCAACTCTGTCCCTGTCCTGGTAATCCATTGTTGCCCAGAGCAGGACTCACATATACTCCTGCTGGCTGGCAAAGAAACTTGTTGTTTGTTCTTTTCCACCAGGGTGGGGTGAGGACAGGCAGGGAAGTGAGTCAGGCCGGAGCATCTGCTTGTAACCTTAAGGAGGTGAAATGATGCCCCTGCCTCTGCTGACTCCTGCAAATCTGGACAGTTATAGCCGAAGCTGCTTTAACAAAAATTGCTAGATAGCCCAGCAGTTTAGGTGTCTGCCTGTGGAACCAGAAGTTGGGAGTTTCGTTCCCCACTGTGCCTCTTTGACAGGGGCTGGGCTTGTCCATAGGGTCCTTCCGAGACAAAAGCAATGTCAAACTGATCAGAATGTACAAACAACCCCTGCCAGCTGATTTTTTTTTAAAAAAGAGATGACTCCCTGCTCAAAACAGATGATTCCACAATAGGCTTCCCTTCTGTGAGCTTTATGTTTATATAGTCACCATCATCAGTGACCATCTAATATAAATTTTGGGGAAATGGTCAATGTGGTCACCCCCTGAAGGAGGCTGGATCTGGTTTAACTTAGCTCCTTCTCTGCTCCTCCCCTTCTCCACCAGCTGATCTTGATCAGCACTTCAGTCATGCTGGCAGATTTGAGGGCAGTGTGACGGACAGGTCAGTAACCACTCCTGTCCATCACAATGGAACCCTGATTCAGGAACTAATGGCTGTACAGAAAAGGCAGGACTAGGGATATATGAGAGAATGGATGACAGTTAAAGAGCAGTTAGAGAGCATTTCAGTTAGAGTCTGAGTTTGAAGCAGTTAGGGAAGCAATAGGGATGAGGTAGGGACTGGTGTTAGAGAAAAGCAGTTTAGGCAGTTAGGACCAGCCTTGTGTTAGTGAAGAGTAATAGAGAGATAGGGAATGAGAAAAGAAATGAATAAATACCTTGATTAAAATGATTCTATCTAAGCAAATATAAATGTTATCAAAGCACAGTTGATTAAATGAATAAAATAAGACCATCCATGTTTTACTTGTGAACACTTTAATAAACATTGTTTAATTGAATAACACTGATTGAAGAGTCCTATTTGACATAGTGCGGAATATCTCCTCTGGTGGCAGCGGAAAGGGTTGAAAAGTAAATGTCACACCCAAAAGTGAACCTGGGTTGTGTGGAGAAACAAACAGGGGAATGGGTGTGTGACATAAAGTTGTGCCAACACACATGGTTTCTGCCCATTCCAAACCCTCTACAGCTAGCATAGCTTTGAGTCTGGATTGCACTGTTATTTCTAAGCAGATACCTAATAGCCTGCATGGTAAACCATTTGTACCAACCATTTCCATATAGTGTCTTCACATATATAAGTAACTTTCAGGAACAGTCTGATGGCAAAACAAGAAAATAAAGTAACACACCAAGAAAGGCCGTTTTTAAGAACTATCTTGTTGCTGTGAAAATACCAAAATTGTTACAAAACTACATACACACATATCCACACAAAGAAAACAAAAACATTGTGTCATGCTTGATCAAACTAAAGAAGTATCTCCAGCAGGAGACAGTTAAATACCTCTGGGTAGTCCAGCACAGCACAGTTGAGTAGGCTGTGTGGAGCACAAGTTTCATTCAGAATAAAAAGTTTCATTTAGTTTTTCCTATTGAAAGGCAATTTGTGACCTGAAACATATGTTTTCTTTTTCATTGTTTTGAAGTGCATGTGCCTCTTCACTGTTTTACGTATTTCTTTCTCTCATTTGGTGTGCTTTTCTTTACTGGCCTGACTGGTCATATGAAGGATATGAAAGTGGCAGATATCTTTTTAATTTTGTTTCCACTATCTCATACTTAAAACATTATTACATATCTACCTGTTCTCTCTGTATTTCTGTCCTACCCTAGTTCTTCAAACATTGTCAGAAAGAATAATATTAAAGATGGACAATTCATCCAGAGATCCTTTTAAAGCAATTTCAAATTTTCAGTTAAGAAACAAAGATGTTTAGAAAATCCATCCTCCTTATTCCACAGCACATAGCAAGTGAAAGAAGACTAACACAATTTTTAAAAGTGGTTGCAATGGTAGTACCTAGACAAGATTGTGTCACAAGGAGCCCTCATTCCTGTCTTTAGTATCCAGTTACAGATGGATCACGTACATAGTTACTTTAATTTAAAAAATGGCTGAAGTAAAAAAACAGGTAGTGGTGGTCCAGTTGACTGACTAGATTTCCTAATCTTCTCCTTGTGGATTTTACTTTCCTTCATTATTACAACACACCATTCATGGCACCAGTGTTATAACTATACCTTCTGTAACAGCCATTGTGACACATTTACCTGGAGAGTTAATTCTTTTCCTATTCGTGTGATGTTAACACTGTGTGGTTGGCCATTTGAAACGTTCCTGTGGTCTACATTGATATTATATGGCTCTTTAGTGCCTCCAAGATTGTACCGGATCTGCAAGTTTCCTGTAGAAAGGAATATTCAGCAGCTTAGTGATATAATTTTTAAAGAAATGTAAGAATGAACCAGTTAGAACAAGTGAAATCTATAACCCAACTCATCAAGAAAGTACACATATAGTAATATAGGTGGCTAACAACTAGGAAAAAAGACAGTGTGCCTCCTTCAAATTTAGAGTGTAGAAGTGCCCCCTTGATGGGGATAAAGGAGCCTCCTATGAGCCATGCTTATATAATAAAAATGTTATACATTAACTCTTCCCCTATTTTAAAAACTATCTTAAAATCTACAGGAGGGGTGCTGGAGGGCAGGGCTGTTGGTCTGGTATTCTCCAAACATAATATCTTAGCACCTACCCAGTCTGGATGACCACAAGGGGCATTTGGGAGTAGAAAAGCTAAGGATTCTTCTCTCTCTTGAGCCCATTAAGGCATGTGTGTATCCAATTAAAATTAGGGCTCAGGCCTTTCTATGCTGAAAGTAAGTTTGTTAGTATAAGTTAGATGTATTTTAAACAAATGTAAGAATGCATCAGTTTTAATTGCTTCTACCTACTTAATTGTGGGAAAAACATCCCACATCTCTATGGAAAACTTACTCTGCTACTTAGAGAAACCTTAATAGTTTTTTCTCTCCTGTGTCTCACTTTGTGAACATTCTCAACAAGAGCAACTACAAAAAAGGTCTGTTTTCTAGTGCCTGCCAACATTACACATTTTAGTAGCAAGCCAGAGAGTAAGGCTCCATTCTTGATGCATATTTTTCAAACAACTTAGATCCAACCTTTATAGCTTTAAAGGTTGAACTTGTTTAAGCTAACGGGAGGTACCTTCCTGTTATTCCATGGCACCAGATTTGAAAATTGGACAGGCCAATACAAAGAACACATTCTCAAGTAAGAAAAGGCATTGACATGGAAGACAAGCAAAGATGTATCACTTACCAGAGGGATTCACCAGTACTGCCATGTAGTCCTGGGTGTAAGAACTGATATACAAAAGGATGCAGGGGGCTTTGTTAGTGCTGAAGCTAAAACTGAGCTCTTCTTTTTCTAGACTTAGGTCTAGCACACCGTTCTCTGGTTCTTTTGAGCTCAAAAGAGTTCTGCTGCCTAAGTCTTTCACATTATTTTCTGAAGATGAAAAATTATACCGTAGCCACATTCCCTCTTCAAAAAATGCTCCAACATCTGGAGGAGAGGAAAAGACAAAAGTGACATTCTTTAATTGACATTTTCAATAAACAAAATCTAGTAATTACCAGATTCTCCACTTATTAAAAATGGGCTGTTTGAAACATAACAGTTTTGGTTTTAGAAGCAATGGTTTATGAATGGTAATGTGTGCTTCCTCTTCCTGCCATGGGTCTATGTGCAGGCTTAATAACTAGAGTAGCAGATGGAAATTAAATCATCTTGGATCAAATTGGAAACTCTTGCTTAAAACAGCCAGGATCTCTATTAGGGTGTACAAATACTATCAGCTTCAGTTCAACCTGAATTATTTGTCTTATGAATCACAATCCATTTGCTTCTAGTTGATTTTAACTTATCTGCTTCAGCTTGTATCCAAATATTTCACGAAACCATCATATATGTATATACATGTCCTTTTTCTATTTTTACATCCCCAGCATAGCGAAGGTATGTTTTTATTTATCAGATGCAACTTTGCTGCTGTAATATACCATCTCCATACTACTTTATATTACTTTATAAGTTTGTTACAGGTTAAAAGTATATCGAGGTATTAATTTTTCCTTCACTCTTACAGATATATTTTCATTATTATTTTATTCCACATTTTACTCCAATTTTCCCTTTTAATTTCCCTTTTACTCCAATTTTCCCTTTTAAACTTATTAATATACTTTTTAATATTCTGCCTGTATTAACATTTTACCTATTACACTTACTGTTTGCTTTCTATTTTTCATTGTTTCTATTTTCTCTCTCTTTCTATAATCTCCTATAATTTTCTCTATTTTGTCATTATTCTACCCTCTGCTTCTTTTGTTTTCCATTCTTTCATCCAATTTTTAGTTGAAGTATGTTTAACCCTGAAATCCCCTCTAATCCAAGTATCTCTCTTATCTGTTCTCTATTTTGCATTTGTTTAATCCAATATTTTATCCTCATCATTCCCTTATCCAGTGAAATTCTGTTTAGATTCCCTTTAAGATTATGTGGGAAATTTCTTAATTCTATAACCTGTGACAAAGGTGAAATTGGTGGACTTAATGCTCCCCTGTAATTTTTCCAACTTTCTAACATATTTTTTAAAAGGTGTTATCTATCTTTTTCATCTCTCTGTTATTTTCTCTTTAATAAAATATTCTGCATAATTTACTCTTTTCTATAAAATTCTAAATCTTCCCATATTTTCGTTATTTGCTTTCATATCTGGAATATGTCTTAATTTGTTTGCTATATAGTATAGTTTAATACTGATAATACCTAAACTTCCTTCTTTTTTCTGATATATATCTTAAGTTCTTATTCAATTCCACCTCTCTTATTACAATTACAATAAATGTTAATTCTTGCCTGCCATTGTTTTATATATTTTTCATTAATCTTTATCGGTAACATCCAAAAATTATAATAATTTAGGAATAATTTTTATTTTGCATAATGCTATTCTACCAAACTAGAAGGTTTTTTTAATTTTTAAAATTCTTTAACTGTTCACTAATCTTTCTCTTCATCTTATCTAAATTCATTTTAATTATATCTTGTAAATTCCAAGGGATATTTAACACTAAATATTTAATATTATTTTTCAACTTTCCCTCATAAATATTTTTCTTCATCCCTGTCTCCACCTCCTCATGGTGTAGTAGTATAATTCTGATTAATCTCAATTAACCTTTGATCCTATTATTTTCTCAAATATTAAAAAAAAATTTGATTCTCTCTTGCTGGATTTTTAATTAATAGTAAGATGTCATCTGCAAATAAGGTCACCTTGTTATTTTTCTTATATCCTCCTTTTTTATCCTCTCTCATTGCATTTGCTAACATCTCTATTTATCAAAGTAAATAAAGATGGAGATAATAGACATCCTTGTCTTGTTCCTTGGCTTAGAGATATATTGGTTATTCCATCATATAACATATGACTATAAGTCTCTGCTCAACTGGCATAGAGTGTGTAGCGAGCACGCTGAAGCCTCTATTGTCTCAGGCCTCCAGGAGGTGCTCACTCTTCCACTCAGTTGCTGCCAACAATACTTCAGTTTAGTATCAATTATTTAAGGAGACAAGTGTTGCTTCAAAACTAAAACTTGTTTATTTGATCAATAAAATAATATAAGTAAATCACAAGATGTTAATCAATATCTTTCTCTCACTGACACACAGACTCTTCTCTCACTGACTTTTTGGCTCACAGGCCCACAGACTCACTAAGTCTCTCACACAAATCTCCTATCCATTGAATCTCTCTCTCTCATACACCCTACACCCTTATTTATATCCCAGCCCCTCCCCCTTTAGCACCACCTTCCGTCCCCTCATTGGCTGCTGTTCCACTGCTCAGCTGTGACGGACAGGTGAGAGCAGGGCTGAACCCTACATACCTCCCCCCTTAACAAGTTGTTTCATGGGGGGAAAGGTATAGTGCTTTACCCTCATGAACAACGAGATGCTATATAATATAACATCAACCCAAGAATACAATCAAACTTACCACAACATTTAAAAATACTTACATGTACTTTTCCTTTGAACATAGCATATAATATTCAACAATGTGTACATAAACATTTTATTGATTTTACCATTACACTAGAGTCCTTTTCTTTCTTATTTAATCTTTGGGTCTTCTTGAGAGGACATCTGCAGCACCATTTTTAGTCCCTTTGATTACGTGTACCTCAAAATCAAAGTCCTCTTCAAAAGTCCAAAATTGTTGTTACAGTAGTGTCCATAATGGAAATGTCCTATCCTCCAGTGCACCTTGAGATGTGGTGAAGTCCACCTCCCTCTGCACCTTTATGGTACTCACTACTTGCAACCATCTGGGATTCCTCAGCAACCTGCAGCCTCTCTCTCAGGAACGACCTATGATGAAGGACCTTGTAGTCATCCGCCTGGCTCGGCGCGACCCCCGACTCAAATCCGGACCTCTCCACGATGGCGACGCCTCTCTGGCACTCGAGCCCCCTCTGGACGTGGTCTGCCACCGATGAGGTCTTCCATCTCTCCTTCCGCCATGTCACTCTGGCTGCTCTACAGAGTTTCACCTCTGGAGCTGCCAACATGATGCTCTTGATTGAACCCTTTAGGTAGGGCCTAGCAAGAAAAAACCTAACTCGCCATCCTTTTGCCCTTTGCATCACTGGCAGGGTCAGGCTATGTCTAAACCTATTTAGCTTTAGATAGGTCACCCCTCTGCCTTCCCAATATGGCCATGCATGTTTTCTTCTGGGCTTTCTCCTCCTCTTATCTTGACCAAACTTTGCTTTCTGGCCCCAAAGCTTGGCTAGATGGGTTTGTCCTCTATAAGGAGTAACTACCGGTGGGCGTGCATCCCCGGTGTCAAATCTGTGCACTACACCCTTGGCTATTTCAAGCTTGTTGGAGAAAACCAGCTTGCCCTTAATAAGCATGTCTCTAGCTCCTCTTTGCTGTTCTGGGGAAACTGAGGGACTGATTTGGTCCTCCTCTGGGGTGCATTTGCATTCGCCCCTCCCTTCCCCATAAGGCAACTCGAGGTTTTCTTTGTCTGCTTCTTTCAATGCTAGCAAGCCACCATCTTCTCTTCCATAGAAGGGCTTGATTAATTTCCCCTGGTCCACTATCCTGCTTGCCTCGCCCTTTAACAGTTCGATGTAATCTCCCTTGTCCCTTGTTCACTTGGGAGGTTACTTGCATCATCTTGGGAGGGAAATAGGCTCCTAAAAACTTGACAAGTTCAGAAGCAAACCTCATAGTACCAATCTGCCTCAGCAGAGCATCTAAAATGTTCTGAGCCTCACTATTTTTCCCTGGAACTGCTTTGGGATAACGTGTTGCCCCAACAATGATATTCAGCCTGAATTTGTTTCCCCTCAGGGTAACTCTGGGCAACAGTTCAACTATGTCCAAACTACTGCATTGAACTGAGTTTGAAATGACCGGTAAAGGACATAGCTCGGCGTCAATTTTATCACTGCATCCCCTGGACTCTGACCTCCTTCACGCTTCTGGCCAGATTCTTTTAATTGCTCTTTCTTTTCAAGGCAGTAAAAGTTTTGTCATAATCTCTGGTCAGTATTTGTCATGTCTATATTAGCTGCAAAGGTACCAGTGTGTCCCTGCTCCTCTGTCCCCACTTGATCTTTGAGAGGAACAATCATTTGGTTGAGGTGAGTCTCCCCTTCCCCACTGGGATTCACACAGGCCTCACTGTCCAATAGGTCTTCTTCTGGGAAGAACATTTCAGGATTCTCAGGGGTTAAGTGACCTTCGCCAACTGGCTTAAAACACTGATACAACGTGGGATCTGTACTTTGTTCCCTTTTAAAAGTGTTTTCTAGTGGGCTCTGAATTGGTACTGATTCAGCTGTAGGGTCCTCTCCCCTCACCAGCTCTGTTTGAATTTCACCCATATCCTCTGCTTTGCCTTTTTCTTCCTGCTGGGCACGAGTTTGTACTAAAACACTTTTGACATGCTCAGTGATACCATTCCCAATTAAACAAGGCGAAGGCAATCTCTCAGCTACACCTACTCTCCTTACTCCTTTCCACCCTTGATAGCTAATAGGTACCTCAGCCATTGGCCTAGTAATCAGTTCTGCACCTATGCCTTTAACTGTCAGGCTTTCACCTTTCAATATTTTCTCTGGGGGGATTATGTCTGGATGATGCAACTTGACCTGAGAGCAAGAGTCTTTCAGAGCCCTACATTTGGTCTCATTTACGAAAATACTGTTCACAGAACTTTTAAAAAATTCCAGGTTGGCCTCTATTAAATAGCAATGGCCAATCTCAGCTACAGGCAGCTGTTCTGCTTGCTGTTCATGACTCTCTTCCCTAGCTGTACTTGTACTATGAGTTACTGTCTCACCATTTTCTGAGGTAACTTTGTTAGGCTGCAAACAATACAATGACTTAGGCTTGGGTAAATCAACCTTTTGACCCCCTTCTCTGGCCTTAGCACATAGTGAAACAAAATGATCTTTCTCCCCACATCCAAAACAAGATCT